GCTGGAGAAAACGCCCCTGCACGCCCCCACCACCCGCGCGCCCCCAACGTGGCCGAGGAGGGGCGGTGGCCGCGCCGGGCGGGTCGAGGCGGGGCCGGGCGGGGCGGGCCGAGAGGCCGCTGTCCAGCTCCGCCGATCGGGAACGATGCGCTTGGATTCCCCTCCAAGGTTTTTTTTTGTTTGTTTGTGGTTCTTTGTTTTGTTTTGGTTTTGTTTTTTTTTTTTTTTTTTCAGGACCATCACTCCGTTGAGGATCTGTCTGAAAATGGGAGCCGCTGCAGGAGAGGTTATGGTGGAGATGAAAATACCCAAGTGGGCTGGTCCTGGGTTTCTCGCCAGAATCATGAATTAAGAAGCTAAATGACTTGCGGTAGTGTGTAACCTACTACTCAGAATTTTTCTTAGCATCTGAAGACTTCGTGGTAGAAAACTTGATGCCAGACTGTGAGAGGGACTACAGTGGAATTCTGGGGAACTGCAGGTCTACATCCTGATATTTATCCCAGGTGAATTAGTAGAAATTGCAGAATCAACGAATGGTTTCGGTTGGAAGGGGCCTTAAAGTTCCAGCTCCTCTGCCCTGGACAGGGACAATATCTGTGAAATAGCAGAATACAGGATTAGTAGATGCTGGGAGAAATACAAGTTGCTTAGTCAACATTGCTCCTGTAAAAGGGAGTCCTGCCTTTGAATTCTGTCAAGTGTTGGAAAAACATGAAAATTATGGTCATCTGGTGGATATATGCTACTTAAATTTCCAAAAACCTCTGCAAGGAAATTTTATCAATAATAATAATAATAATAATAATAAACTAAAATAGAAGGTGCTGGTACAGATATATTTTTAAAACATAAAAGACAGAGGTAGGGATAAATCATAGAATCATAGAATGGTGTGGGTTGAAAGGGCACCTAAAGATCACCTAGTTTCAATCCCATTGCCATGGGCAGGGATGCCGCCCACTAGATGAGATTGCACAAGGTCCCACGCAACCTGACCTTAATCATCAATTCTTTCAAATGAGTAAGGTCTGTACCAGAGTTCCCCATTAGTCTGCACTGTGTAACTTCCATAAATAATCCAGAAGTGCCATAAATAAGCAGTAAGTAGCAAGATTTGCTGATGGGATGAAGTTATTCAAAGCAGCAAGGACATGAGCAGAGTAGAAAATCGCAGAACTTTACAAGACTGTGTGATTGAGCAATTACATGGCAGATGAAATTTAATGCTGATAAAACAAGTATGGCACAGAGTTGAAATATGTTCCTAGCTTCATGTATAAAATGATGAGTTTTGAGCCTATTAGTACTACTCAGAAGTGAAACCCCAAGGTTACATGACCCAAATAGACATTGTGCTCAGCAGCAGTCAAAAAAGAAAACTGAATGTTAGGAATGATTGAGGAAGGACTAAAGAGGGCATCATTATGCCATCGCATAAATTCACGGTTTGCCTACACCTTGAGTGTAGTTCTGGTCTCTGCATCTTGAAAAGGATGAACTAGAATTAGAAAAAGTGGATGGCCAAATGTATGGAACATGGTAGGGTGGAACCAGAAAAGCGATAAATTGGTGGGGAAGGGCAAATGCTGCATGCCATGATCCATCTCCTGATGGAGCTGGGTATGTGCCCTGGGGCCTGGCAGTCTTACAGGCTGCTTAAAGCATGTTGCAAAGGCATGGATCACCAAGTTCCTCTCCAAATTCAACCCTCCTCTTCCATCTGCTCTGTCCTGCTGATCTCTCACATGCAGTTGCAAACAAAAGAAAGGGACTCTAGTTCCCAAGACAGGTCTGCTGGTAAGGATGCGCTCCTGGTCCCGGGACTGTAGGCACTAAAGATTAAGAATGGAGAAGGTTGTGGCATGACACATGGCATAAATTAAAAAAATGCAGGACCTAAAGTATATGTTTGAGCAAGATGGAGTTAGTGCTCTGCCACGGATATTGGGGTGACTGTTTTCTAGCTAGGCTTCATAGTTGGGTTTCTGTGAGTATCCTCCAGGAATGTAACAGTTCTCTCCTTCCCAAAGATTAGAGAGTACCTCATCTTTGTGAGGAATCAACTAACAGCTCCCATTGTGGAAAAGATTTTTTTTTTTAGGTGTGTCACTAAGTGAAAGTTTTGCCTCACCATATATGGGTATTTGACGAAAGGAGAAAGAAATGCAGCATTACCCTGCAGAGGCTGCTTGGTCTCTGCCACCTGCCAGGAGCACTGCCAAAAAAATTGACTGCTTAGGGTTACATTTACATGGGTGGAGTAAATGCTGTGCAAGTGCTCTGAGTATACCTAGCTCATGTTTGTGACTGGTTGTGCCAGAAGGCAGAAGTGTGGCTGCTCAACAGCCCAGTGTAAAACAATTCCTACCCGTGACAGCAGGACAGGAGAACCTGCATGCACTAACCTGTAGCAGTGTCCAGAAATGGTCCAGTGATAGAAAAGCTCTGCATGCTGAAGAACCTGATTCTGCTTCTACAAACAAACCACTATTCTTGGCATTTACTCTTGGTCTTGGTGATTCTGTGTTACTGTTGCTCCTCACAGATGGTCCATTCTGATAAGAAATTTTCAGCTTGGCTCATAAAGAGTCAGTAGTTGGGAATTTCATTAGAGAAGGGAGTATCCTTTCACTTCTCTGCTGGGTCCTGCAGAGCTCTGCCCCAGTACTGTGATGCCACGATACAGTCCCAAGAAAGAACTATGGAACTACATTTAACCTTCAGAAAAGATGCTGGGGAAGATTAATAGGAAAAGGGGCAAAATATATGATGCTGATGGTAGCTGAATGTAAGACCATTACCTTTAGTTGGTTAAATCTTCAGCAGAATGAAATACCTGTTTTGTGTATGAACTAAACTAGCCTTTGTCACTGGAAGACTTTCAAATAATGTGCTTCCTTTAGAAACGCAGATGTCAGCACTTTTCTCATTTTTTTTTTTTTAAATTTGTGTGTGTGTTTTTTTATTATTTTGTTTTTGTTTAGTTTGTTGGTTCCACCCCCCACCCCCCCCCCCGGCCCCCAGCAAAGACTGGAAATTGCTGTAGCTAATTAGCAAGAGAAGAACACAATTCTTTCTGAGTTCCTGGGACAGAATATCAGAAAGTTTAGGTGACTTCTTTGGCACTCCAGCTACAGGTATTTATAATTAATCATGTAAAAACACAGCATAACCAAAAAACTGTCATCTTTTCCTGTCTCCCCTTTAGGCTGAATGCATTTCAAGTTTGAAGTGACAGATCAAAGAAAGCAGTAGTGAAGGACATGAATGCTCTCAGAGCCTTGTATCTTCAATTCTGATTTTTGAACTTTTGTTCAGTGGAGGTTTTTGATAATAAGCAAACATCCATAATGTGCTGATCTCTGCACATTTGGCATAGCTAAAGACGATCAGAGTAGGATGTATGAGGCTGCAGAGAATACTTCGTGTGTTCCAAGGATAATGGAGACAAGGTTTGTGATTAGGACTTTTTCAGATTGTATGATCCTCTGACACTTATCTGAGATCCCCAAGTTTACAAACACTTGAAACTACACAAATTCCTGGTTCAAGTTTGTTTTTGTTTTTTTTTTTTTTCTCCTATGTACCTGTAACAACTTCTGGGATGGCAGAGAGGGTGAGGCTAGCCAGTTCTTTCTCAAGCAAGTTGATGAAGGGTTTGTTGGTTTTACCAAATAAAACACTGCTTATTCCTTTCTGTTCTCATGGTCAGTACTAGGCAAACGAAACACCTGATTATGATGGAGACTAAAGAGCAGATGTAGCAAGAGCTGAGAATTTCAGCATGGGAAATGTAAATTGCCAAGTCCAGCTGGAAAAGCAGAGGCTATACCCCAGCAGATCGTGTGAGTCCAAAGCAGGTATCTGTGACAGTCTTTGAGCTGAAGCTTGAAGTGCAGATGGGAGGCTGCAGGGCAGCAAGGGGGCAAAGTGTGCTTGGTAGGAGGGGAAAGATGCTGTACTGGTACTGGGCACCCACCTGTTTTAGATCTTATGGCATGGGAAAGCTGTAAGCTGTAATGTAAAGGGGTCAAGCGCTATTAATAAATTGCCATGTTTCACTTCAAGATGAGATTTACCTTCTGATGGAAAAACTGGAAAGCATGGTGTTTGCAGACAAACTACAGGATTATCTGTCTTAGTGGTTCTGTCACCAGCTGCAGATGCTGCAGCTGACAGTTACTGGAGTGCTGTTTTTAAATGGAACACGTACTGGTGCTGAGTCTATGTTTTAGCAGCCCCTACTCCAGCAGGGACAGAAGCAGAGCAGACTTCTTGAGCTCTGCTAGTAAGACAAAAACTGTCTGTGCTGCTGCCCATTTTGTGTATTAGCTCCTCCTGTGGCTCCAGGCAAAAAAAGTCATAAGGAGAGAAGGTCAGCTCCTGGAGAATAGGGTCATGTGCAGGAAATAGCCGGGTATGGAAGTGGAAGGGCTGTGCAGGAATATAGCACAGCCTCCGTCACAGTCGAGACGTGCTGTGCCACAGGCCGTGTACACCCACAAAGTCAAGACAGCTGCCTTTTGTCACTTACATCCTTACATAAGTGTAAGGAATCACAACTGCTGCGTTATTATGCACTACTAAGTGCTGTGCAAGAGCAGCTTTCAGGAGTGTATAACAATTTTCTCAATTCATTCTAAAACAGCCCCTCCCCAAATCACAGTAATCTTTTAAAATCCAAAGCTATTACAAGCCTAATGAAGATGAGAAAGTGAGATGGTCACCTAGTTGCTTATCACAGTAAATCCTATTAGAAGTGAGGAAGTTTTTAAGTTACTCTCAAAGAGTTAAATAGTTCCTAGATACTGATAATCCAGCATGAGCTGCAATACTTCCAATGAAATTTTATGTTTTTCTTCCACATTAATCACATTTTAAGCTGATGTCATTTCCACAGCAATAAAGCAAAAACATTTAATATCTCCAGAGTTATACTACTTATGTACTTTTTCCCCCACATTTCTTGCTAGTAACAAAAAGTAACTCTTTATCCCGTATGACAAGTCTTTTATTTGGAAATGGAATGCATAAAACAATGACTTGAACGGGAAAGTCTTGCTCATTTAAAGACTTAAAATATTCTAATTTTATATGCTTTATGACTATTGTATAGGATATTATGAAGTCACTGTCGTCAGAAATGCAAGACAGAGGACCAATAAACTCACAGTATGTAAAGGTGCAAGAGCAATTTTTCAACAGCTACATATAAAAATGAGTGATGAAACACTAGAAATACCCAAATATGCATTCTGGATTTTCAGAAGCTACTCTAGAAGAATCAGTGACTTGGATGTTTTGAAATGGCACAAAAAGGGAACGTGCTATATGCATTCTTTATATCAGGAAAATTTTTCACACATATTTAACTTATTGTGAAATAGGAGCCACAAATTAGTTTGCTTAACAGAAAAGAGCTCATTCCAAACAAATTCAAAACGGGTACAAGACAGCAAATGCAACCCCAGTTTTGCATAGACTTACTTACGTGTGTGCTAAAATTAACAGTCCTCCTTAGTTACAATTAAGAGCGTAAAGAGACTTTAACATTAACTAGAGTTAAATATTTACTTCAAGACTCCTTTCCATTGCCAGGAGCACATAAGGAGGACTTCAATATAGGAGAGACATACTGACATTTCTTTTGCCTGTGACAAAAGAAATTAGGCACATTTCCTAATCTTTTGGGGACCCAAATATTTATCCATTCAGACTTTCGCAGTATCAAAACTGGATAAAATCCACTTCATTAAGCAGTTACAGACCGTAGGAGTTGACCTGTGTTCTTCAAAGTTATTCAGTGAATATTTTCCATCAATGACAAATTGAGGTTTAAAAGCTTTGCACAAACAGCATGCAATTGAAGAAACTTAAAAATCACTAGGGTTAGTTTGTAAACATACTGACGAAAGCAAAACTCAAATTGGAAACTAGAATTTTGCCTTCTGGAATCATTTTAATGACATTTTATTTGACGCTGAAAGGAATGCATTCTGTATTTCACTGTTACTAAGAAACTTGCTTTTTAAAATTTAGAACCATGGTTTCTAGATATAGCTGATAGCTGTGAAGTTTCTATTATGGTGTAATAATTCAACCTAATTATTTTTACTAGTTTGAAAGAAACAGATCAAATACCTGCCTTAATGAATTCTATTTTCATGGAATATGGAATTTAAATTGTGCAAAAGCATACCTGTTCTTCACCAGGCTGGGGTTTTTTTCTCTGTATTTGGGTAGTTTGTTGAACCTGTATTGTATTTAGGCAAATTTATTCCACTTGAATGATGCATATTTCGTCTTATAAATAGGATGGGGCAGGATGGGGAGGGAGAGGAGAAAAGACCAAGGAATTATTCCCTTTGAAACATGACAGAATTAACCTAGTAGGTCACTGGGGTACCAAATGATGAAGAATTTAAGATGTGTTAAGAGACTTTCCTAGTACATAACAATGATTTGCATTATATGAATACCTGCTATGCCAAGAAATCAGGTTTGTCCACAATGCAGAAGGATTTATGTAAACTTGGATGCATACTGAAAGAAATCATGTTACAGTTTTTGTCACACCTTCATTCAGTTTAAGACAACTGAAACCCTCTGCTGTGTTGTGGATCAAAAATGTGGCAGAATCTGAAGTTAAAAACCTCTCATCTGTCTCACTGTATTATTTCCAACAATGTATTTTTTAAGTTATGAAGTCACAATTTCTAGAATTTTCATTATCTCCATCATCAAATGAGAATGATTTGTAATTAATCCAATATTATACCTTTTATTTTTGACAGCCTCCAGTTTGGCAATAATGTTCGATTCTTTTGTAACACGTTGTCTTGTTTTTTTCACTTTTCATAGCCTAGTGGTGTGGGCACCACACTTTCAGTTAACGAGTAGTCTTAAAAACATAGATTTGGATCTTAATTACCATGGTGAGGACGCTTAGGCTTTCACTGAAGAGAAGCTGAAATGCAGGAAGTTTATATAATGACATCTGGCAGACTTTGGGTCTTGTGAGGACAAAAGAGGGTCTTGAAACAGGAGGATATCAAAACTAGATTTTGGCAATATAGAAGATGTATTGTCCATGTAGTTCTGTCATAGGTTTTAAAAATACTCTTATTAAATAAGTTTTTCTTTCCTTAAGACCAGATAATACACAAAGCAAGTAAGAGTCCAGGGGTCAGAATCTTCTTCAATTTTTAGTTATTCTCTATGAGCTTTTTTTTTTGTCTTTTCTTCGTAACATTCTCCAAACTCATTTACTCTGTTCTTATCCACAGGATAAAGCCTGGCAGAAAGAAACAAGTTATTAGTTACATTATAGTCTGCTATCTGAAGGAAATAAACAGTTCTGTGACAGTTAATTTTAAAAGTGAATTTGTCATCATATTCTCTGTTTCATATTTTCTGCCCATTTGTGGCAAAACCCAAAAGTTTTAAAGATTAGCTACAGACATATCAGCTTCTTCACATTATGACTTAACCAGTTGTCTCATAACAGGACCTCTTAAGAGATGTATTAGCTCCCCTAAAGCTTGGCTGGAGTATCTCTCAAGCAATCCAGGATACCTCCCAGACTTGAAACCAGTGTCCACCCCCTATTTGAGCCCCTAACTTCTAGAAAAATACCTCAGAAGTAGACCTTTTTACTACACTTACATATGATTATATAAACCCCAAACTGCATTTAGTATTAGTGATGAGTTAGATGCACACATCCATATATCCCTGGTATAAGGCAAACTTGTCTTAAAATTCTTGTTTGCTCCACATGTAAGTATTTATTCTTGGGAACAAGAATACGCTTTCTGTAGCTTCACTATGAACAATATTTCATAAGCATTGCATATAGCCTTCTTCCCCATCTGATTTTAGTTACTAAAGAATCTGAAACTCATCAGATACTCAGCTTACAAGAGAACCAGATAACTTGTGTTTGCAAATTAGAGAAAGAGAAAAGCAGAGCAGGGAAGTCCCTTACCAGGAGACACCTTTTGCTACAGCCTTGCAGAGTAACTTGGAAAGCACGCCTCAGATACTGAGCATACGCAGACATGCGACCCCTCAGCAAGGGTTAGAACTCCTAAGTGGGTTTGTGAATACAAATTTAAGAATTTCTCTCCTTCCCCCTACTTCAGGTATTTATGTCTCAGGGTTTAGTGTTTTTTTGTTTGTTTGTTTTTGTTTTGTTTTGGTTTGTTTTTTTTTTTTTTTTTTTGGTAACTTGCAGATGTGAAACAATCTGTTGAAAAGAGGGACTACAGTTCTAGGGAGGGAAATAGGGTAACTGACAAAACTTCTGAGTCCTGTGAGAAGAGGAACTTTTTGACTACTCTGTAGCATGTCCATGATTACTGTCATTTATGAGAAAACGCTTTTTTTCCTCTTATCTCAAGATCTCCTTTACAGGATCCCCTGCTCACCATTCCATTTACTAGGCATATATACAAAACTACCACTATCCAGACCATGCCATGCTATATATTACTATAGCATAAAAATTCTGCTTGAAGTCTATCCCAAACTGTAGTTCTTCATAGCAGAAAGACTGCAACCATCTACAGCATTTCTAAAAACTCCAATGAATATTAAAGGAAGTCATACCATCTTTGGTAAAGATAGACCAGGAACACAACATCATCTCTAAAGCATGCCAGCCTATGAGATGTTGGCATAGTGATGATAAAAGCAAATATATCATCAATAAAGGTGTTGAATGCCTGCAAATAAAAAAAAAGCATACTTCAGTTGGCTGTGAAGAAAGCAAGTCATCAGTCGTGCAAAGCTACAGATTTCCTATGTTTTTCAGTAGGAACACAGACTACTTCCATATTTATAGCAATACTTAAGAGTTACGCTGAGAAACTAATTAATGCAAACTTTAAACAGCTTTCTTTGAATGAAGACCATCCTGTCTACTACAAATCACACTGTTATAGTTACAAGTAAAAAAAGAATTAGGACTGTTTCAGGTAAATGAGAGTATTGTCATGGGAGGGGAAAAACATGGAATCAATTTCGGTGAAATCTTTAAAAGAAACTGGAAGAAAACCCCACACATTTGTTCATTTATTACTCAAATATCTTAAGATTTGCAAAATGTAATTTCATTTTCTGTAGAAACTTGTGTAAAAACTTGTTAATTTATCATTCCTGAAAACACTAACTTAATAGCCTTAGAGAGATTTTAAAATATTTTCAGCAATCTTCTGGAAGTAATCATGTCTTGAATAAGGGATGGACAATGTTCTGCACCATTTCCACTCAACTAGGCATACTATAGGTTCTGTTTCTGCAGCAATAATGAAAGGTAAATACACAGAAGGGCAACTCCTCTGGATCTGGCTCTAACCTACAGGGAGGTTACAGAAATCAACTCCTAACAGTGCACCAGCTCTAGTACTCAGATGTTGCAATGAACTGTTTCAACTCACTAAAAACATCAGGAAACAAATCCATCAAAGAACATTCACTGTTGGGTTAACAAATTCAGTCATTAACATGGCTTCTCCTTTAAGTATTAGCAAACTGTACATTAATCCCTACCATAAGAAGAGGGAAAGTGATGTATCTAAGCACAGAATGACTCACTTTTCAAACTGAACCAATGTTTATATGATAGAACAAAACTTCAACAGAAAATGGTAGTGCTGGAGGGTTCTGATTAGTTACAATGGGAGGGCTCTTTCTGTCAGGTCAGAAAAAAATCTGTTAATCTGAAGTGATTGAAAAATATGGATGGCACTTCTCAAGCCTGTGCAGAGGTTTATCATGGAACAAAAAAGACAATCCTTGCAAGTTGGAAAAGACAGTTTTTCCAAGTCAACACCCAAGTGAGTGATCCTACAATAACAACGGGAAGAAAAAGCTAAGTGCTCAATCTTTCAGGCACATAGGCAGTCCTCATGAACCACTGCAAGTGAAGGCATCAAGGCAGCCCATCCAATAGTGTTTAGACTAGATAATTTTCTTTTGAGATTACCTCACTTGAAGGTATTCCTCAAAATGTATAAAGGGCATAAACATAAAACCTACACAAACCGGGAAGTCAGAGTTCAAATTAAGGAAAAAAACCCAACAAAGCTCACAGATGAGCCCTCAGACTCTTCTTTCCACCTGAAGTGCAGAAGAGAACAAGCAATTTTAAATATCCATTAAGAAAAAGTAAATTACTCTCTCCAAAGCCCAGTAAGTTAAACATAATTGAAAATATCATATACTTCTTTCTTCATACACATAAGCCTTTGTTCTGGGTAGTCTATGGCATCTAAACAGAAACCTTAAATGCTGTGTAAGAAAAGGCTATTCAGTAAGGTTGTATTGCTTTCAAAGCTTCTTGCTTGAACAACCTCCCTTCATTGTTTATTTAACTGCTGATGGCTCTGCTCAGTTTTATCTTTTGATGGTGAAGTAAAATTGTGAAATTATTTCACTAATATACCTTTTATCCCCTTTTGTTAAGAAACATGCCTAGTATATGCCTGAAACACTGTGTTTATTGTTGTTTTTTACTCTATTTCCACATCAAACACGGTTTAGTTGCTATTCTGCTACCAGCTATATTTCAATCTGTTTTCCTAGATGCACCCTAGTTTCTTAAAAATATTAGGACAGCAGAAAGTTGGGCTATTGCTGTAGGTTCACAGAAATACAAAAGCTTTGAAAGGCTTTTCAAATTTTTAGATTTTAGTTCTTTTGTCCCAAATAATCTGTTCAGAACTGGACATCGTTTCTTCAGTGTTTTTTAACACTGTTTCTTTTAAAGTACCGATGTTCTGTGGAACTGTAATACATCAGCACAAAGGAAGAACGAAAGTATTTATGAATGAAAGCAGAAGTAGAAAGGGCAGATGTTGATGGCATCTAGGTCTCGATGATTCCAGCACATCCAGCCAGGGTTTCTCAGGACATAGTAATCAGGACAGTACAAAAATCCTAATGTCTGTGACTGGTAGGAAATTATGGAGTCAAAACACTATCAGCTCTTTAGGGGTACAAGAACAAAACTAGCATATAGTTGCCAACTCATTAAGAATGTAGGAGACACAAGAACTCAGCAATGGGTGTCCCTTGCTATCTATATCAGCACAAGGAATCCTGACTGGGATACTTGGATATATCCATCTTGGTGTCTGAATACAATACAAACCACTAAGACACACAAGTACACCTGTTATATTCATATCAAAGGGTTAGTAATTTGAGTTTGGTTTGAAATAAACTCATCTTCTCCTTCTCCAAGGTCTGGTATTAAGCTTTGTTGCAGCACTACATTATTTCCTACCAGGGCAGTCTAGGCAGTGGGGACACCACAGTGCAGCCCCTATTCCCCCATGGAACAACCCACCACAAACTTGCCACTACACCATTGCTCAGGAGCTCAGAATTACCACACCAGCACAGTCTCTCTACTTCAGTCTCTGGAGCTCCTGGAGCCTGCCAAAATAAGGTCTCTTAGCAGTCCTATGTGTTTCTTGGGAACTGTCCCTTGTTACTATAATTTCTCTCTTCCTAAAATGATGCATTACATTGAGACTGGTTGATTTATCTGCAGGACCAACATCTCCACCTATGCAAGACAGGTGACAGTACAAAAAGCAGTATTATAATAAAACCTAGGATGCAAGTATTCTCATTATATGGAAGTCATTAGGAAAAATGAAAATGATTTCTTTTTAAGGAGAGTTGCAAACAAGTTTAGTTCTTAAACAAAAAAAGTACCGTCAAGCTAAAATTACTAAGACGTTTCTTACAGAAAATAATTTTCAAAATGACTGCACCAAACTTTAAACTAGAGCTTTACTTACTTTGTATGTGAAAGCCTTCCATGGTAAGTGTGCAACAGATTTCATCTAGAAATAAAAAATATCAATTTGTAATAAAGTCTGGAAAAAGAGACTAGAAAAGCAGAATTACATTACTTTTCAGTCTTACCTTGTAGTTTACAAACAGTTGGGGCAGCATAAAGAGGAATCCAAAAGCATACACTCCTGAAGATAAAATACAGAAAACAAATAAATGCACACAGATGTATATCACACAACTATACTTTCATAATTAGTGATTTACAGTAATGGTTTTCTAAAGAGAGAAGATGCATCTAATTCTTTTATTCACTTGAGTTGAATCTTCCCCCTTTTTCTATCACAGTGATAATTTTGGAACCTACAGTCAAGTTATTGCTCTGTATTACACTGATCCAAATGACAGCAGTTAATTTTCTACTTTTGAGTCTTGGCCTCCATTTGAAGAAATATGAATAGAAAAAAGAACAGAAGAAGGGACTCACCATTGACAAAACTGTTAATCAACCATGAGTACCAGCTACAAGCAAAGAAGATAGTACAGTTATTTTTTCATTCAGCCAAAATTATAACACATTCCCTATGTGACTGCATGCAGACTACACCAAGAAATGGCTACATTGCAAATTGCTTTACACAAGAACTAAATACCTCACATCTTCCTTTGATTAGGAGGGGCTCCAGAGAAAGTAGTTCAAGCAAAAGTTGCTTATCAGTCCATAGATTTCTGGAGAGCTTTATCAACTGCTTTTATAATTTTTCAGACCATTCTAAGACTTCTGCATCCAAACTGACATCAGATAATACTGTGCACTGAACCCTGACTGCATTAAAGCTTGCAAATGTAACACTGTATTCTAAATACCAAAGAGACACTTAATATGGCACTGTAAGGACTTATCAAATTTCAAACAAATACTATTCAGTGCAAGCCATGATAGTAGGTACTTTAATAAAAAAAAGGTAAGCACAAGGAATCTACATTTTTCCCTCCTTACATCTAATAACTCTCCCAATCTTAGTAAAGTAACAGTAGTGATACAGACAGTGTTTGAGTTCCATGCTTCTGCTAGTGTTTGTAGAAACAGCTAATAAATGTGATGCTCAGGTTGCATCAATTAAAATTAAACTTGCACTGCTGTGTTTGTGATATGTTAATAGCAGCATCACAGTTGTAGCAGCACTTCAATAATGCACAAGCATTTAAAAAATGCATCAGAAAATGCCTCCAAGATTAAAGGATAATCCACTGTTAAGATTACTTGTTCTGTCACATTTCCTTAGAGATTTAACAATGGTAAGAATTCTACGATATGAATTGTTTTCATTTCCTTAAGCTGCAGCTCATAAAACACCTGGCACACAGTGTTTTTCAGTATTGAGTGAATTAATAAATTTTGCAAGAAAGGCAGGATTTTTAAATGCTGCATATTTGCTTGCTCCTTACTAAGGCAGCTAACTCATGGATGCAAGCTATTGAATTCTATGCTACAGTAATATCAGGTTACTAGTGAAATACAACAGTCTGTTGTATTTCAGCGTGTTAAAAAACCAGCCAGACTCTTCAGCTTTAGATACTACAGAACAAGGAAGCTTTCAGTTCCTGACTTATGAATTAAACTGATTTCCATAACCCATCATCTCCAATTCATTAATATAGAAAAAATGTGAAATGTTTCAATTCTATGTAAGATCATTTACAGAGTTATAGTACCTTTTGTATTTGACATTCAGCAAGGAATAACCTGCACCTCCAATACACAGTGGATAGAGCAAATATGACAAGTATTTCATAGCCTAATAGACAAGGAAAATAGTTCATTAGTTCACGTGTTATATACAGATTTTTAATGGCATTAATTAGAAGACAGCAACATAATTTTTTCTTAAAAAATCTTTTTCTTATTCCCAAATGTCTGCTATTATTTCCACTATGCTTCCAGTTCTAGTGGTGGCAGTGAAAATTCCAATGCCCAACTCAGATAACTCTTATTAGAGCATAAGCACCAACAGGCAGCAATGAAGATCAGGGTCTCCCCACTTAGCAACAATGTTGCCACCTATGCTCAATTCCTTTCAGAAATCAGGAAGCACAAGAACTTTCTTTCAGTATAAATAACAAGTACAAATATCAACTTCCAAATTTGTGAATGGGAACCCTTTCAGATCTCTCTTCTGGTAGTCAATTGCAATTCTACTTCTCAGAACAATGTTTCAACCAGATTCAGCTAACAAAAGAACTCTTTTGCTGTTTCTTTTCATAAATTATCAGAATCAATCTTCACTATCTGATCATCCACACAATGATAATCCACTCGACAACTATGAGAACATGTAAAATGCACTTGCAGCAATAAAAGAGCAAAATAAGTCAATCAGCAGGTCCCATATATAGACTTCATAGAAATCATATGATTCCCTCTTACCTGGGCATCATACTCCTCAGTTTTCTTTTCAGAGTCATTGTAGGTACCAAACTGCAATACATATAAAAAGCATTATCAAGTCAGAGCAAGGGGGAGAAAAGCACTTGCTGTCCAACTCCCTAAACTCAAGATTTAAACTGCAAACTAATCTGCTTAGACATTAAGAAGGTAACGGTTCGAAATTCTTATAAGTTTCTATGCAGGAGAGTTATACATCTGTGCTGTGCAGCCTGCTAAATACGGGGTAGGCAAAAAGATTATTTTTCCCTTCATATTTTATACCAAACTTCCAGGACTTCTTTGCTTAGAAAAATGCTGTTGAGACATCAGAATTCAGAACACAAAAGGAAGGTGAAGCAGCTAAGATTTTGGCAGATACAGGAAGCCTTTATTAAAAACCATAACCATGTAGAGGCCAGTTCCACATGTTCAGAAACTGTGACTGCTTAAACACAGTTCCTTGAATACTGACAAAGGAACAACCAGAGCTTTCAGTTGCTCAAGGCACAGACTTGAAGCAGTACAAAATTCCAGTACCTGTTGTGAAGTAAACACTGAAAATTATACAACTGTTTCTCCTACCAGCAAGATAAACTTTCAGTGTAGATTGCAATTCCAAAAGATTATATTCACATTAAAAAAAGTTAATTTGAATCCCTGCTGCCGCTGCATACTCTGCAGTCGCAGGACTTCATTTTTACCCAGAACAATCATCAGAGTGTGCTGTCCCCAGAACATGTCACATCTTCTATTAGTTCCACAATAGAGAAATTACACCTACAGCTTCATGAAAAAGATACTCTCATATTTCAAACCACAATGTCAGTTAGGAGTGCCTTTCCAATCAAGTGGCAGGAACATGGTCCCACCTAGATTTAGCAGGACTAACAGAGAAGTTCTGAAGGTTCTCACACCACTATACAAATAGCTGCTGCTTCTACAGAGCTCAGAGAAAGTAATAAGTTTGAAAATGATCATTTTGCTTTTGGATTAAGCCCTTCATAAAGAGCAGATGTACACAGGAAACCTCTACGGGTTTTTTTTGAATCTTCATTTCACTAAAAGCCAAGTTGTACAGTAACATGAAAACGGATGACTCAAGAACGTAATCGTTAACAGGGCAATGTTTACTATTACCTGAAATTTGGGTCTCAAGCCTTGCCACTTGATTGTCATCTTCAGGGCTTTCTTCACTTTCCATAGCTGTGATTAGCAAAACCAAAACATGAATATAAAAGATTATCCAGAGGAATGTCTTTTGTAGAATCAAGATTCCAGAACACCTATTTTAAGCAACCATTGCATAAAGCAGCCAACAGCATGACTGCAGCCTCCTGTCTGTGCCTATACAAACCAAATGCCATGTCATCAGGCAAGTACAACATTGTGAGCCTGCACTATTATGTCTCCATACCAGATGATGTACTTTAAACGAAATATTGTAGTCCTAGGATAGCTGGATTGCAGTGCTTAGGTGGGGGTTGGATGCTCTCAGCACCTGAGGTGTTTAGAGAATTCTCCAGCAGGCACCTGCCAAGCAAACTTTTCACGCTTTCAAGGTCAGCTGGAGTTTGCAAGAACTCCTAAGTTGGCACTTACATGGTCATTACATTTCAGTAGTGGACTACAAGCAGAAGTCAGTGAATCCACTGAATTGTTTGGCTACTTACTGTACATCTGTAACAGCCTGACCTAATGCAATCAAAGGTTTAGTTTATCTGAAAATTTACTCAGGTACTGATGAATTTCTGAAGTACTCAGTTGTTTGTTTTTTTTTTAATTATTTAGATTCCAAGGATTAAAATATAAAATATTCTACAAAAGCAGTAGCATATTTATAGAGATATATATATATATATATATTTATCCCTGAAACTTAGGTAAAATTTCAGACAGCTAAAGAACATTTGAAATGTAAGACTAAATTGCTATATAAGGAAAAAAAAAAAACAAACAGAAAATCTGATACAGAAAACCTAAAACAGAAATACATCAGACTTTAAAATCAAGGGACACAATTTCCTCTGCCACTGAAAGCCAGTTAAAAAATGCTGCAAGCATAGCATGCTACAGTAGAATTTTCCAGTCACTACTTTAGCATTCTTTTTCTACAATAAACTGTGGATGTTGCTGCAAACATTTGTATTTGGTTCTAAAGTTTTAAGAACTCACCTCAATAAGTGCACCAATGCCTGCTGGGATCAGTACCAATATACTTGTTTGTTCATCCAAAAGGAAAAGAAATATTACCACAGTACTAAAGCACCGCCAAAGCACTAGACAGAGAAAATGAAAACAAAAGGCTTATTAATATTTAAATGAACAGCTGAGATGACAGAAGACTGCTGGCCTATTTAGTGTAATACTGTCTTACACCGTGTAAGCATGAACTCCTGTATACATCTTGATATATCTAGCAGCCCTAAAAACAGACAGTGAACTCCAGGCAAATATGGAACAAAAACATTTTATGCAATCCTTATCACACAAGATGACAGAAAATTGGAACATTTATGGAAGACTTCTGTACTGCAGCAATTCAGCAATGTATTGCTACTATTATGAACTACATTAATGATTCTTGCTTCCAGGTAGCTGAAAGGCTGTGAGGTAATGTAATGTCAGTCTTTGAAACCCAAAGAACTAAATTAATGTTTGTAAATGTTATGTAATACATTTTATATACTGTCAGATACATCTATTTTATATATTTGGTTTACTTATTTATTTTTAAGTTGATTTTTCAGGTTTTGCAAAACCTTGGATGCTTGTAAGTGATTCCTAACTAATCCTCAGATCAAATATCCATCCCCCTAAGCAGGGACAAAAGGAGAAAATAGGTACAACACACTCAGACATCAACAATTGTACTGTACCACTCCACACCAACTGCCTATCAAACTTCTCCCTTAGGGTAAGAAGGAGACACAGGAAGAAAGGTGACTAAGGCTTGCTGATGAAAGGATGGAACTATTAATAGCTGAGGACTGATACTTTAACAGTAAAAGCACCTTTGTTACTCAGTCTTTTCAATTTGACTTTACTGACTTCTGAAACTGGCCATTGACACATAATTCTGAGATTCCATGAACCATTTTGAATTTTTGCTAACCTTCTGGCATACACATGGCAACAGCAATATAACTGCTTTAAAGAAAACCAAGTGCACTCTCATAATGTCAGATCACTATGTTCCCTCATGTATTCTATATAAAAGACAATTCAACCCTCCTATGCTCTCCTACTCCCCATGTCCCAGGAGTCTCTATTGCTCCTGTTTACATCAAAGCCCAAATCAAACAAGAGCATTACACTACAGCACTTTCTACCCCCACATATTTTGGAACCTGGGACTTGCAGCATTACCTATGATAGCACACTCCCTCCATCCACAGAACTTTTTCTGGTCCTCATGCTTTTCTCAAAGTATTTTTCTGTTCCTTCTGTTACCAGTATGGTAACTGACTTAAGATTACATTCTCAGTTGCAAGACAGTCAAACCTCAGAAGTGCCATGAGTGCTTAAAAGCAGGTAATACTGGAGCACAATGCTAATGAAGTTAGAACCACCTAACTGTACAGACTGTTAGCCATCCTTTTTCATACACAAAACCATTTTGTTTTGCTATCTTGGTGAATCTACAAAGTGTCAACTTAGGCTAAGACTGAAAACACACAGCATACAATTACACAGCATATGCACATCACTTTGCATTTTGGTCCATACCTGCTTTTGTAGACATCCCAGTCATACTCCTCTTTTTCTTCCAAAAACTTATGTCATTTTTGAATGCAAGGAAATCAAAGAGAAGCTGCAAATAGCAAGAAACATACTCATTTACTTGAAACATGTGCTGATTAGAGACTGTCAGCTGAACTGTTAGAAATGCATTTAAAATGGAATTCAAGAAAAACCTGTTTTAGAAGCTTCAGAAATTAAAATTAGGTATCACAAATAAAAGCTAAAAAGAAAAGCTGTTTTAGAAGCCCAGGCTCTAGAAGCAGCGCAAAATGACAGGATGAATTTCAAATACTGCTTCTCTGCAATGCTGCACAAATCAGAGTACTGTAAAGAAAGTCAATGACCCAGTTCAGGGTAACACATTGTAGAGGGTGAAGAATGAGAATCCTGATAAACTGTGTACCTCGAGAGACCAGGGAAAGACTCACTAAATAAAGTTCAAAGTGCTCTGTATTGGATTGATAGTCACTTTAGGTTTGGATAATACTAAAACTTTCTTTAAAAAATCCTACAATATAGCACATCAGGTTTCCTCTCTATTTTGTCACTAAGTTGACCTAAACTTCCAGGACATTTTAGAATTTGTAGCAAGTTGTTTTTTTTTTTAATTCAGTATTTTCATTCAATACATTTTCCAGTATTTATTTTAAGCATTCAGTGTCTTAAAAAACATTACAAATTCAAAAAAATTCTCAGGTTAGAGAATTTTGATGAGAAAGTTTTGGGGGGGGCACTTTGTGGGGGGAGATTGCCCTTTTTTTTTTTTTGGTATTGTGGTTTTTTGTTTATTTGTTGTTTCAGTTTGGTTTTTTGTTTTTGTTTTTTGGTTGGTGGGTTGAGGTTTTGTTGGTTTGGTTTTGAATTTGGGTAAAGGATCCATGAACGTAAACAGTATCAGAAAAGCCTGTCCCAGCCTAAAGATACCTTACAACCTGATAAACAGAATGGAAAAACTAAATTAATAAGCCTGGGAAATCTGATGCTTTCCAATCAAATTACCTGTATGTAATGTAAGTATAAGGAACATAGCAAACATTCCCAGCAAGTTCTTATCTTTCCCAAAGTATGGAAATTGTACTGAGTGTAATTGTAGATTACAAAAAGATTCAGACTTAAACCAAGACATACACAATAACAAATAGGCATGACTGGAACTCTGTGCTCTGCACTTTACAGCAACATTTTTGGAGCAATTTATATCAGCTGATCGAAATTTCTCCCGGGATTACAAGTCAGAAACTCAAACCCTACTATTGCTGCCACAGCTATGCCACTGCAGTGGTAAACCTTGTGACATGTCAACAAAATTTGAACAAATGTTGACAGGCATATTAAATCTAGGGGCTTTGGTCCAACTATAAATTAAAAAAAAGTGAAGTTTATGTTTTATATTTCATCAAGCTTGTTAGTTTTTATGTAATTATTCCAAATTTCTGTCTTATTTAGGATTTTTGTAGCTGACTTGTACCAGAAAACACTTCCATTGCTCTACTGAAATTACTGTTTCCAAGACCAATTCTTAATAAATGAAACAACTGAAATTCAGACACCTGCCCTTTTTTTTTTTCCAAATACTATGTAGTTCCTAAAAACTAAAGCCACTTACATGGAATGCTGCTACGAAGAATGTCAGAGCCAGAAAGTAAAGGTTAGTATCAACAAAAATTCCTTTCACTTCATCTGCATCCTTTTCTGAAAATCCTAAGAAAAAGAACAAATAATTATGCAAGAAGTACCAGACAGTTCATTGCTGTTATGCTAGAGTATGAAAGGAATCTTACGTCACCTGCAGAAGTTTTGTTAAGAAATCACAAATCCAAAACATGATGGAAACTTTATTGGTAAAACCCAAGTCTACTTGTATTTTAGCAAGGTTTTGGCTTGCCTTAAACAAAACTCATTTGTTATGAGTCTTTAACTTGTGCTATTACAATGTGTTTTGTAACATGACTTTAAGATGTTGTGTGATTACAGACTAAGCTGACCACCTGACAGACAAATGGCAACACAAAGGAAATCATTTTGGCCTAAGTGGGAAAAAAAAAGGTTATTCAAATTGGCCTCTGAACTTTTGTTTGATACACAAGAAGAGTTAGCTTCACATCAAAAGCTGAAAAATCAGAAAAGGAATATACTGTAAAGGACAACAAAAGCCACTGAGAAACACAGTTGTAGATGGAACGGTGTGATTCAAGTCTACAGTTCTCAGAAAATACACAAGGCTGCATTTATGACACCGGTGCTAATTCTGACACTGAAGACTTCAGCACCAGTTTAGTTCACTATCACATCAAGAAGAATGTACCCATTTTCAAGTGATTTTGGAGTTTTGCTACTAACCTATGGTGAGTTTTCTAGAAATTTTTCTGAAAGAAAAATTTCAAACCTTATGTTTCACTATCTACATAGAACAAGCAGCATCTTAGGCAAGCAGTTTTTCCAGGCAGAGGAAGCACTCCTAGGACAGGTCTTGCTATACATGTCCATCACAAGACAACCAAGATATGGAACATGAAAATTTCAATAATGCCATTCTGAGGGGGCTCACAAAAAAATCATGGAGAAGTGATGGTGGCCAAATGCCCTATACTAACTCTGAGCAAGCAGTTACTTGATTCTTTCAAGACAGTTATTTTTAGATGACTTACTTGCAGCTTCAATATATATTATTGAATAGCTGAGCTATTTTAAAATTACTGAATAGCCTGAGCTAAGGAGAAGCAGTTGGATTCTACTTCGGATTACTTTATTCCTTACTTGCCCTCTCTTTCCCAATAAAACATGAGAAAAGCTTAGACTGCAAAAGAAATGGAGAAAGTCTAGGCTCTCAGTGTAAGTTACACTGCACACAGGTTCTGTGTCTTAAAACACTACATTCTGAAACCAACGCTGAACCAGAGCAGATTTTTTTTTTTTCCCAGAGGAATCAACGCATTAAGTGTTAAGTTGTCCATCATAAAATATTAGCTCAGAGATGACAGTGAGTAACCAAACCCTCTTGCCCTGACTAAATTTTGGTGAATAAAAAACCAACACTGAATAGTATGAAAGCAGCATTATGTCTGTTGGGAAACTAGCAGAATACTACATTTATCTGTATTGGAAAAAATAAGATAAACTGGGAAGAATATAAAAAACATTACAATAACACAACACAGAAGCTTCAAAGTTCAAATTGCTCTCTGAAGAGATTAAAAAAAGAGGATCAGAAAGAATCCTACTCTCATACATCAACATCAGTTCATTTACAATGCAGTTCCTTACAGAAGCATAAAGAAGCCAAGTACTGTCTTGTAAGAGAAAACTAAGTCAGCAAATATAACCCTGAAAATAAGATGTGGATTTTTTTAAGAGTGATGATTAGATGCACAAAGGTGTGCATCAGTGGAACAAGCAAAGACAGTAAATGTTTAGCTTGGCTATACCATCACCAACACAGAGCACATGAACTTCAGAATGACAGTGTACACCTGCCCCATTACATTTAAGCGAAACACAGAATTTAAGTTTCACACACGTAAAGCATCTAGTTTATCCGAATTGCCTTAAAAATAAGTAACTGAGCCAAAGAAGAGGTTAGACAGTTTTGGTGTCAGAACAGTATGAGCAGAACCCAGATGATTCCTTCTTCATGCTACACTTGAACTCAGAGACTTTACTGTGCCTGACTGTATTTCACTGTAGATATATGGCTACACTGACCAGCTGTATAGAACTTGTATCAAAGTTTATGTTTCACTGACCCAGCTTTTCTGTTCCATGGATGACAGGGGATACCCATGGGGAAAATTCTCCTCTTGATTATGTCCTCTTATGCAATTACAGAGTACTATCCAAATAAATTTCCTTTAAAAATGGCTGATTTGCCTCTGTATTCTTGTTTCCTACCACATTTCAACATATATTTTCATTTTTAATTTAAAGTGAAACAATGCAAGATTTGTATCACAAGTAAAAAAAAGTGTCATCCATGTACTTAAAAGAAACAATTGAGGGGACAGTTGTGTTTTTTTGGCTTAGAGACATTAAAGATAAACATACCAAATTGCTGGAGGGAGTACACAGCATCCTGCATGTGGATCCAAAATCGGAGTTTTCCAAGAGATATTTTGTCATATGACACTGTAAGAGGTAGCTCTGTTGTTGAACGATTTATAACCTGTATTTCAAAAATATATAGATTCATTTTTAATAGCAGAAAAATGGCAACAATTACTTCCATTCATTTTTTTAAATAAAGAAAGTGATTGTATCATGCTATAATTTAATCACACAATTTCAAGAAGTCTGTTTTTTGAAAGGGAATAAGATCTTAAGACTTCTATACTGTTATAAGTTACTTCTTTTCTTGAATTTTGAAGACGGCAAAAATACCTGCAGGACAAAGAAATGTAGCAAGAGTTTTTTATTACAGTGCTGGGTGCCTATTTCCAACACTGGGTGCAACTCTGGATCATACAAAGAGCACACACCGTAGTTCGAAAACCGCGCTTTTTGTACCCTTAGATATCACTTGTTGAATATTCATTCATTGTCCGTTTGTTGCCTTAAAAGGTAATTTCCCTGCTTTGGAGGTGGGTGTTACCTTTTGGCTCCTTGTAACTTATCTCCCCTGGGCTCGTACAGGGGGTCTTGCATCATCCCCACATTGCAAGGCATGGAGGGCCTCTCTTTGTATCCACATGGCACAGAGGAATACATTTTTATTTATAATTTGTTCCCTGTTCCCGGCCGCAAAAGGTTCCCTGGTGGTAGGTCCAGACAGGACCCTTCACCTTACAGACTCCACGGTACGCCTGTAAGTTAGTAAATATACAGAAATAGTTCTTTTGTTAGTGCCCTTTTGCTTATTTTAATTTGCTTGGAATAAAACCGGTGCCTCTACTTATCACATATACCATGTTTGAAGTCTTCGGGGGTTTTTTCCAAGAAATGTTAAACTACCAGTTTGTTCTGGTCAAGTTCTTATATGAACCTCACTGTTCCTGCATACAAATGCCTCTGAGATAGCAGCAGAAAGTGGGAAAAGCATACTTAAGATAATTCTTTTGACAGTACTTCTCTGAACATAAATGCTGAGATTACCTAAACTAGAATATTAAACAAAAACAAACCCAAACAAATTGCCACAGTCAGAACTTTAGCAAATTGAGGTTGGTTTTAAGAGAAACTGAAAAGGTGGGGAAGCAAGATGATGTTACTAGCTCAGACTAGTGAAAACACCACAGCTAAAGCTAAGTGAGATACTTTGCTGAGGTGTCATAGAAACCTTCTTCTTGCCCCAAAAGAAATAAATTTCAGCTAATTCTGCTGTATCATTTACACTTTAGTTAGATGAGAACTACTTCGGATCTCTTTAAGATGAGGAAAAAA